ACTTAAATTTTTTACGTGGAAATACTCAAAAAAATTCTTAAAAAATCCGATAAAACATTATTCTTCCCAATTAATTAATTGTGATTTGGTTGAATTTGTACCCTCCTCAAAGAAGTAATAGACATATTGCCAAATGGATAAGTTCAGCATCAATATCAGTTTCATAATTCTCAAAATCCCATTCATTGTGACATCATCAATGACTTATTGTAGGGTGGGTTATCTTCCTGATTAATTCATTTTATTTAAAAATAATTTGATTAATTAAACATTTATTATAAAACGAATAAAAAAAGTTAAATAATGCTTCTAATGTTAACGGAGTCCCTTTGTAGAAATTTTGAGGGGAAGCGATACTTTTAGGATAGACACAAATCTCCAACGCATATTTGTTAGGTGGTAGTTTTTAGGTCTTCCAAACATTGACCTACAAAAGATCGGACCGTCTCTAGGACACAGTTGTAATGAGTGTATATATATATATATATAATCTAAATCGAGTATTGCAGAAATAAGGACGATCCTCCTAATCTAATTTTTGTTGTTGTTGTAAATAACGTTATTTAAACTCTTGACCTTACTTAAAAGATATAGTATCTTATCCCACTAGACTAGTTGGTTGTTAGTAGAATCAAATATATTTGTTTAATTTGTATTTGAATTCAATTATAATTATTGATAATATTTTAATATTGTTTGGTTCCGATTTAAACGACCGTATATGATATATATATCGTCCTCGGTGGTAAATGAATTGTTGTTATTCCCTGAAGTTGTAGGTTCGAACACTAGGAATATCAAAGGTATGAACGTTCAATATTAAATGGTTAAGAGTTATCTTTAAAAATATACTACCTTATATTTACCCCAGATTAATCAAAACAAATATTTAAAATTTGAATAATTAATTTTAATTGTCTTGAATAATTTGAACATACAAAATTTTAAAAAATAATTTTTATTTAAATAAAAATTTTACTCTTATTACATAGTATTAAGGTATATTCTATTCTTAAAAAAAACAAGAAGCAACCATGAATTCTTAACCTAAACAATAAAACAAACTCAAAAACATATAATATATGTAAATATATAGGTCAACGTCATTTTTTACAAAAGGTCAAATGAGGGACAACTAATAAGATATAGCTTTTTATGTTTACATTGATTTGTATGATGAAATTAACCAAATGGTTCGTACTCGAAAGACACTGCCACGAAAGGAAAAGCGACGGTGGCTTGCTTCAGCCGTCCGAAATAGCTAATTCTTTTAAAGGAAACAAATATGAAGTATTTTATAGTGAATTAATGCACCCATTTATGAAAAACATCTTCATTTAATTTTAAAAGCAAAACTAACAAAGACTTCGGGATTGAATGTCCTTTTTTATCAAACAAATTAATTAATCATTTAATTTAAGACTTGATTTAATTAGTTTATATAATAATTTGAATTTTAACATCCATTGATATTTAAAAAAAAATATTCTATAAACTTAATTATTGTAAGAAATATTTGGATCAACCATCAATTGATATAGTGGGATGATGTATTAAATTCTTTAAACAATGTCATATATTTAATATTTAACGTTGTGAATACAATAAAGGGTAAAGTACACAAATATCCCCGACTATAGGATATTACTTTATCGAGTCATTCGACCATTAAAAGTTACAAAATGGTCACCTGACTATTCATTATGTTCCATACTCATCCTTTATCAGTTAAAAAAATTAATGGTTGTCTGAGTTGAACGTTAACATGCAGACTAATATATATAATAGTTATTTGAGATTATGATATCAAATTTTATGATATTTTAGTTAGCAAGTTAACGTCCAACTCAGACTGTCATCAATTTTTTAATGGAGAATGAAGAGTTTGAAACACAATGAATAGTCAGATGATCATTTTGTAACTTTTAATAGTCAATGGACTCAACAAAACAACTCTCTATAATTGAGGGACTATTTTTTAACCTTTAATAGTCGGAGGACTAAATAAAATATTATCATATAGTCGGGAGACCATTTGTGTACTTTATCCTATAATAAATTAGATCGAGAGGATTATCTCATGATAAACCTCGATATCACCTAATTTGAATTAATCGATAAGTAGATCAAATATCGATGGTTAATAAAAAAATTACTTTGAAATTGATTTGATTACATAGGGAAGTGGGTGTGATGATGGAAGTGAGTGATTATGACAAAATTAGTGAAAGGAAATAGGTATGGTTGCCACACTGGAGTAGCCTTGTATCGATGGTTATATTTATGATTTTATTTAAGCATGGAAAACTTTCAACTTATTAGAGGGCTTTGTATTACCATTTGAAAGCAAAATCAAATTTGGTAATGCGGAGCTTAGGTTCATAAAGTTGAAAAGTTCTTTCCAACACATTCTTAATATATCTTTAAACGATTAAACCCCAACCTAATTCAATTGCTTGCTTATTTATATCGCTTCTCAATTAAAAGAGTAAATTATCCAATAAAATACTAAAAATATTAAAAGTCATAATTTAATTGAGTCACACAATCATCTTTTATTTTTGGGAATTTGAATAAATTTCCTTTTTTTCTTCTTGGGTAAGATGAGGAAATTTCTATGCTGACTCCGACTCTTTGAATTTTTATTTTTTGGGGACAAGATTGCCTAACCATGTAAAAAACAACGGTCTAATTGACGGAACAAAACACGCAATCGAAGAATCTTGGGTCACCAAGAGTTGTCTTGTAGTAAAAGTTAGAACTCGGAACAATAGAAAACCTGATTGGAAAGTGATGTGAAATGAAACTAATGCTGAAATCAGCTCATTTGGTCAACAAACAACTAAGATTTTAAAGTTTATCCCCAGTTTAATCTCACCGAAATAAAAGAAATAATGAAATCAAGAGATTAAATTAAGGTTTCGAGAGTAATTTTGATTTTATTATATTATCATGATTGTAAATATGACTGATACTATTATAGTTATTATAAATATTATGATCGTACTTTAATGATTTTAGACAACACACCATTACTATGATATAACCACTATTATTTCGATAACGTATCGCTATTTAAATTTTTGCCGGATACTAAAACTATTTAATGAAAAATTTAATTACAAACTGAGGCAGTGGTTAACCCACCATTCTCTCCCTCAACGCCAGTGTCTCCAGGCAGGGGGCACGGCAGAATCTATCTACCTTCTCTTCCCTTTTCTTGTTCATCGATCCTATCTTTCCCATGCTTCGATTATTACAATTTTCTAAACAAATTATTAAAAGAAGTTCGATTATTTTTATGCGAATTTAAAAAAATGAATTCTAACCTAATCTCCTAATAAAAGCCTATCAATTCCTTCAATTTTCAGCTCTAATCCAAAAAAATAACTAACAACAGAAACTATGTTTCAGTTGTTTGGTTACTTTTCCCCCCTCTCTTTCTTCCTTTTCCTCTGTTTCCTCCCGCATCTTTGTTTTCCCGCCAGAATCACACCAGGACAGGTAACTGTCATAACGACCGATGATCACCACGTTACGTGGCTTAATTTTACTCGCTTTAAGGACGCCGAGAAAGGTAGCCACGTCAGCGGCATGTCGGAACTCAAGAAATACTTCCAACGGTTCGGCTACCTATCGATTCCAGACAACCAAAACGACAGCTTCACTGACGTTTTCGATGCTCAATTCGAATCAGCCATAATTTTGTACCAAAAGAAGTTCGGGTTGCCGGTATCCGGAAAGCTTGATTCCCAAACAATATCGACGATCATGTCGCCGAGGTGCGGCGTGTCGGACACCGGTCCAAAACTCCATGCAACCAAACACTTCGCCTATTTTTACGGAAGGCCAAGATGGGTCCGTGGGTCGCCTATGACTTTAACGTACGCTTTCTCGCCTTCGAACATAATCGATTACATAAGCTTGGCAGGAATCAGAGCAGTGTTTCAACGCTCGTTTTCGAGGTGGGCTTCGGTGATTCCAGTGAACTTCACTGAGATAGAAGATTACGGATCGGCCAATATCAAGATCGGGTTCTTCAGCGGCGATCACGGCGACGGCGAACCGTTTGATGGGGTTTTAGGAGTGTTAGCTCATGCTTTTTCGCCAGAGAACGGGAGGCTCCACCTGGATGAAGCAGAAACGTGGGCCGTTGATTTCGGGAAAGAGAAATCAAAGTCGGCTGTTGACTTGGAATCAGTGGCGATGCATGAGATCGGTCATATACTCGGCTTGGCCCATAGCTCGGTGAAGGAAGCCGTGATGTATCCGAGCCTGAGGCCTCGGAGTAAAAAAGTGGACCTTAAACTCGATGATGTTGAAGGTGTTCAAGCGTTGTATGGATCAAATCCCAACTTCAAATACAGCTCTTTGTTGGAGTCTGAATATTCTTCTAACAAAGCAATTGGCTTGCATTATAGACCATGTAGCTGCACGTTCTCATGGCTACTGCTAGTTTTCTCTCTTCTTTTCATGATTACATGACACCCTCTCTTTTGTATACAAGTTTGAAAAGAGATCTCTTTTGTATAGAAGCCACAGCATTTAGAAGAATGAAAGAAGAAAAAATAAAAAATAATCAGAGGAACAGGATACTAAGCATAAGTGCATAACTTCTAAATAAGTTGATTCAACTTATCTATGTGACCATTAATAAGGACCGATATATAATTTTATATTAAGAACGGAAACAAGATATTAATAAAACATATAATAAATATATAAATTTAATGAGAATTAAAAAAATTTAATCAATTAACAAACCCATCCTATAAATATAATTATTTTAAATCAGAATTTATAAAAAAAACAACAATCTCTTCTTTAATCACCACCACTAGTTGGATATGTGATTGAAACAATAAAAAGATATTCCATAAGGATATTTACCCAAAGATATAGCATAAGGTATAAAATAATGCCGGGTGAGAGGGTACGACTGTAAATAATGGGAATGCTGTGGTTAACAATTGAATGAGTAGGGTTTTGCTTTACTTCTTCGAATCGAAAACGGCACTGTGAGCTAATACCTAAACCCTGTCTTCCCGCTTTACTTCCTCCAAGGTTTGAGCTTCGATTAGTAAAGTTTTTCGATTTCCTCTCTCCTTTTATTATTTGCTAATGGCTTCAGCTTGCAAGAGCTTCATCAGTAGATCATCCTCCTCCATCAAATCCGCCTTTAAAACCAACGGTCCAAAATCCCCATTCTCAAGATCTGCCGCTGCTCCCTCCTCCACCCGATCACCTCTCCCCTCCCAATCCACCTCTCCTCTTCGCCGTTTCACTTTCTCCAGGTACCCTTTTTTGGTTTCCATTTTCTAGATTACAATTTCTGTAACCATTTGTTTCCTGAATTGGGAGCTATCGTTTTACTATTTTGAAGTTGTAATAATTATTTTTGTTTATTTTTTTATGATGGAAGGTGTCCTTCGGAGCTGGGATGTGCGCATTCACTGTTGCCGCTGCACAGTGCGGTGGCGGCGGCGAGGCTGTCGTCCTGCCTGAGCTCAACATCGAGGAGTTGCCGGGCACTTTCTCAGGGTACACTCTGCTGCACTTATCCCGGTCTCTAGTACTATTTTATCTGTTTTCTATTGTGAGTGGCTTTTTTTTTGCTTCTCATACTCTTAATATGGTTGTATATATATCTGCTCCTGTTTCATCATTCTTGAATTTGGTTTTGAATATTTCATGTATTAAGTTTGTTTTCCTCCCTCATTTGTTTTGCATATGAAGATATTACTAACATGACTGTTCTGAATGATTTTTTTTTGCTTATAAATGCTATTTCTGTGTTATAATTATAGTCGAAAGCTTTAAGGCTAAGAGCATGATCATATTTTTTAATGAGCATATAGCTAACTAACGTCAATTTAAAAACAATGATCAGATGAATGCCAAATTTTCTCTTTAAAATCGTTTCTTCTACAATTAAGAAGCAAGTACTAAGTCTCTCTGTTTCTATCTCTCTTACAAGCTGAGCATCTGTGGTAGACTGTCGAATTAATCGAAGAGGCAAGAGTGTTTGATAAACCGCCCAAGTCCCAACCTTGCATTAGATAGATGAGCCATGTAACCTTAAAACATGTATTTCAAAAATAGGCTTATGAGGTAAGTAGAAGACTACATAGATAGTAGGAAAATATGGTTATGATGCAAGTAGTAAGCATTCCTGAATTGAAAGTTTGGTTCCAAATTATACTTGAATTGCTACTTGAGTATTGCAAGTGATTTCTATGTCTGATCCCCTATAATAGATAAATTGACGTTTCTTTAAAATTTTGGTTGGGTTGAAGGTGTTAGTTCCGATTTTAGAGAGCATAGCTAATTAGGAAGTAAAATTCTAAACTTTTGTTGCTCAAAAGACGGTGGAAAAAATTCTAAACTTTTGTTCCTCAAAAGACGGTGGACACCATCAGATAAGTGATATTGCCTTCTGAGTGAAACACAAAAGGGCATATAAAATGGGGTCGGGTGTGCTTAATGATGCATAACAATGTCTGACTAGAATATTTGGTTCCTGCAGGCACATAAGTTCAATATGCTTGAAAGAAATAAAGTGGGAATTTACAGTGACAGGCTCATCTTCATTCTCAAGTACGAAACCATGAGTGCCTTTTTAGTGATCTTGAAATTTAATTATTCAGGATATGGCCATTATTTTTCACACTTCTCTTTCTATTATTTAAACCAGTTCCCTTCTTTATACTCTTCTTAATTCTGGAAAGAGAAACCTCTATTCAACGTTGCACGACCTCCCAGTGTAGTTGTGGGATTTTAACTCTACATAATATTTCTTGCATTTGTGTATAGTGTGGATTTTATCATCCTATCTTCCTGGGAATTATTGTTGCTTTTTTTATATATAGGATAAGATAATATCAATATTGACATGTTAAAGTCTGCCGATCCACTCGCCCTTCCATTCAGCTTTGTGCTTACAGTTCCTCCTTTTGCTTGGCATAGTCTTCTTTCTACTACCTGAAGTGTGGTAGTCTAGACAAATAGGCCGAGTGAATGCATTCTAAAAATTTGTGCAATAGAGGTCATCATATGATCATTTGTATTTGAGGAATCAAATACTGTGACACTGATTTATTTTATTTAGAGTGATTCATTCACAAGTGATCTAGAATACAATGGTAACAAAAATGTTCCTTTTTCCAGATGGAATTGATGGTACGTGAGACGTTGCTGTCTTCAGAAGGCGAAGCCTGTCTTCTATTTTTCAGTTTTGTTTGACGTTGATTTCAGTGGGAAACCAGTTTTAGATGATCTTAGTGACGTTTTTAGTGTTATGTTTAGAAGTTCGAAAACAGATATAATATACAGCATTCATTAATTTGCTTGCACTCAATTGTTGGTTGGAGTTTAATGCTATTATCAATGCTTTATTTACACATTGTGGAATGGTTTCTGCTAACAAGTCTCTGATTTGAGTGAATTCTGTGTACAATAGAGTTTGGTCTAGCTGTTCCAAGGTGACTTGTTAGAGACCATGGTTACGATGATACGTTGGAGGCGTGTTCGAATAACTGGAGCAGCAAGGACCTATGGACTTACATTTGGAAAGAAAATATTGTTGTCATTTCATTCTAACAGCAGTGGAGCTGATTTTGATTCATACAAGTTATAAGATTAAGAACAAAGTAGCCTTGTTTAACGAATTTGGGATGCTTATCAGGCTAAACCATCATGATTTTCCAACTTGAATAAGAAATTCAGTTGCCCTATGCTTTGTATCCCAAGTTAGGGACGAAGGCAAGAAATTTATAAAGCTCCGGGTAAATAAAAAATCAAATTATAAAGTTTTGAAAAATGAATTATTTATATTTATATATTCTTATAAAACAGTTTTATTAAATCATTTTTTTTTGGTATTTGGAAGATGCATAAATCATTTTTGTTTGATAAATCTTTTATAACTTATTTATTATAAATACTAAATATAATAAATAATATTATTCATTGTAAATTATTATAAAAATTTAATTAATATTATTTATTATAAAATTATTATTTAATTATTTATATTTGGTATAAGTTAAGGAAGATTTGGAGCGAGAGAAAATCAGAGATTCATGATGTTATTGTTGTTGACGTTTAGTGAGAAACTTGTGTCAATAAGGGATCGGTGTGTCGATGAGAGATGTTGGTGCTATAGTGGGGAAATGTATCGACAAGAATATTTTGAGTGTTTACTTTGAAGTGAAAATGAGAAAATATTTTATAGAAAATCAAATAATAAAATATAAATAATAAAAAAAGTGTGTTATCAATAAAATAAATTATATTGATTAACTTATTTCTGGCTAATTAAATATTAAAAATGAGAAAGAACATCTTTAATTAAATATCATAGTTACATGAAAAAAATTGTGTGGAGGAGAAGAGAGACCAGAAATGATGGGTGAAGTGGACAAATATTTAGTAGGAAAAAATGGGAGTTGTGCCCGTTAACAGTGCTCTAAAGATAGTTTAAATCTGAAGAGAGAGATGGCAAAACGTAATGTAGGGAGACAAATTTGTGAAAAAAGCTATAAAAAGATAATCAGAGGAGCCACTAAAAACAAAGACACCCCCCCTTTGTTACACCATCTTGCGAATAACCTGGAGAAAGCCTCCTAATGTTAGTTAAGTGCCAAAAGAGCAAGAGGTACACAGAGAGATAACCAAGAAAAACGAATAAACAAAAGTACTGTCATTTGGTTGCGATTACATAACCCGAATCCAAAAGGAAGAAAGAAAGAAACTCAAGTGATTTGATATAGAAAATCAGAAACAAACATTTTAAACAACAAATAAACAGAAAGGTGCTGGGTGTATATAACTTTTCTTTGCGTTTCTTTTCTTTTTTGTTCCCTGTTTGGAAGGAAAGAAAGTGGGGAGGAAAGTAAAGATGGTGGTGTACTTGAAAAAACTTATGCTTGAAGATGTGGCAATAATAGGAGGATTGGTAGGAGTGCAATTTGTTTATGCAGGGAACTCTGTTTTACTTGCTTATCTTATGTCGCTTGGCCTTAGCCCTTTCACCATTGTTATTTACTTCACCCTTGCCACCTTCATTATTCTCTCCCCTTTTTCTTTTTATTTCGAAAGGAAATTCATTTTCATGTTCTTTCTTTCTTTCTGGAGTTGCTTAGCCATGGAAACATTTTGAAGGCATCAAAATTCACATCCCATTCATTTTGCAGGAGCCGATGGCCGAACCGATTAACCTTGAAGTTCATAATTCAGTTTGTTTTAATCTCCTTTGGAGGGTAAGGTTAATTTTCATTTTACATTCTGTTTTAGTATTTGGATCATGCATAAAAATCCATCTAGAAATTAGAATTATTCATGTTATTGATAATCTTTGTTTCAGAATAACTTTGTTCCAATCCCTATTCCTCAAAGGGATTGATCTAACTTCACCAGCAGTGGCAACAGCCATGCCAAACCTTGCTCCTGGACTTATCTTTATAATTGCTTGGGCTTTCAGGTACTGTATTCCATTCATTTTTCTTCATGTACACATTAGTAATTAACACGTACTGATGAATTTTGGCAATGCTGATGCAGGTTAGAAAAAGTTGCTATAAATTGCCTATACAGTAAAGTTAAGATTGCAGGCACATTCTTGTGTGTCATTGGCGCCATTATAATGAGTGTAATGCAGAGCACCGTCTCGTCGGGAGATGTGGTGATGGATACCGTGGCCATTTATAACGACATTTTCAACAAAAATATGATCATCGGTTGCATGTACCTCATGGCAGCAGTCCTGGTTCTATCAAGCAATGTAGTATTGCAGGTAATCTTGAAAAAAATGGAGAAAAAATATAGGAGGTTGAATTTGTGCTTTTCTTTTTCTTTTTCTTTTTTCGCTAAGATATTGTGTTTTACAGGCGACGACCTTGGGAAATTTTCCTGCTCCGATGTCGTTGTGTGCGATAACGTCCTTGATCGGAGTGATTATAACTTCACTGGTGCAGTTGTTTGAAAATCATGATTTCGAATGGGGTTGGCCTCTTGTTAGTGCTTGGAACCTACTTGGCTTTTCTATACTGGTATGAAAATCTCATATACTGTGATCTTTAATGAAATATAAGTTAGTTAATACTGAATTCCCAAGCTCCAAACTACTATGAAGATACTAGTTTCATACCCCAAAAGCATGCTTATACATGAAGTTGTAGGAGCAGACAGAAACTACACACACTTCAGAATTTAAATGCACATCGAAAGATTCAAAACAGTAATGCACCTCGTTTTCTTCACCGATCTATTCGTTCATATTCGGATGCGCAGGGAGGAGCCGTGAGCGGAATTTGTGTAAGCTTCAACGGATGGGCAATGAAGAAGAGGGGACCAGTGCTGGTCTCAATGTTTTGCCCCATTGGAACAGTCGTAACAGTAGTTCTGTCTTTTATTACATTAGGACAGACCATTTCATTAGGAAGGTAAACCATACACATACAGATTTACAAATTTGCTTCCATGTTTGAAATCGCAAATGTACCAACATTCTATGAATCCATCTCTTGATACAGCCTTGCCGGAATGTTCCTCATGTTCACCGGCCTCTACTTCGTGTTATGGGCTAAAGGAAAAGAAGTTTATTGGCCGGGGAAGGCTTAACAAGCGAGTTCGAACCGGAGAAACGGAAACCTCTATTGAGCTAAAGAGCTATCTACTTCCCATACGAAGATCAACAAAAGTGAAGTTCCCTGACATGCAAGATCGACGCAGGCCATCTGAAGTGTGATGGAAGCTGTCACTACGAATGTAAATGTTCCTATATTTCAACTGTTTTTTTATTCTCTTTTTGCAGAAACTCAACGTACCAGTAGATTCATGTATGGTGTACTGAGTTCAGACTGTATATTAGAGATGATAAGAGATTAGGTTGGGTAAAAGAGGATTGAGAGGAAGAGTAGGGCAGATGAACCCTTGTATTGAATCAAAGAGAAATGTGTTGACAGATTGTTTGAGTCCACCAAATCAAATGGGATTTTAGATTCATAAATTATACTCAGTTTGGTGGCAGAGTAATGGCATTGCACAACAGTTTCATTAGCATGTTGATACTGGTAATGATGTGTTTGCAGGGATGAACAGAAGGATATTAGACATACTCTTTGAAAATTTTATATTTCTATGTGGTTTAAATATTTTCTTTATAATTTTTGTTGATAATTTAGTTTTACATGCTTAAATTTCCATAATTTCGCATCACTTAACTTTTTAATATAATTTATTAAATCTATATGCATCTGTTTATGCATGTTTATAATAGATAAAGAATGACAAGTGAAGCAGAGATGAATGAAAGCAGGTGATGAAGGCAGCTAATATAAGATTCTTTGCTTCATTTGTCTTCCCTTAATACTTTGCTTTGTTCGCTTTTGCTCCATTAATTGCGGTTTCAGACTTATCCGTCTTTTCGTTTACCGCTAGCTTTCTGTGGTTATTTTATTGCAAGAAAAAACATAAAATCTGTTCTTAAAAATTAGGGTAAAATTCACTAATAGTCACTATTTTTAGAGCATTTTTATTCTGGTTGCTCAAATTTTAAAAAAATTCATTGGAGTCACTGTCGTTAAAAAAATTATTTCAATCACTCGGCTGGCATACCATTAACAATAATTGACGTGACATGTCAAAGAGTCCTAAAAAAACCTAACAACTATCATTCTTTTTCGATTTAAAAGACCATCGAACTACTTATTTTTTTTTTTTGGTTCAACTCGTCGAAAACACTCCAATTTCCTCAAATCTCAATAAAAAAAAATAAAAGTTAAAACTTACTATTTTCCACTAAAATATGTCAGATTAATTTAAAAATTAAACTATGTTAAATAAAGTATTTCCACAATTGAGATTGACCAGTGACTTCTTCGTTGACCAGAAATTTTACTTTTAGGGAGTGTTTGGATCAAGGAATATGGGATTCCAATAGGAATGTGGGATTCCCATAGGAATGTAATCTACATTCCCATGTTTGGTTGGCTGGGAATCTCATTCCCGGTAATGTTTTATTACAAATAGTAGATTTTTTGGGGTATATTACCGGGAATGTCATTACATTCCTTTCCTTAGGTATTGTTGGATTACCAGCGTTTTGGACTAAAATGACCTTAATTTTTTTCCTATTCAAAAATATCATTTTTCTGTCATTGAATAATAAAAATTATACGAATGTTAAATTACAAATTTATCCTTAAATTATTTTAGATTTACAAAAAAAGTTTATAATTAAAATTTTATATGAAGTTCAGTGGTTAAAATAAAATATTACCATTTCATTAAACCTTTTTATATTTTCAATTTTGTAAAAAATATATATATATATATATTATATATATAAATTTTATGAATTTAATTTTTTAAAGAAAATATATAAATATTTTTCAACTTGTTAAAAAAAGAAATATATAATAAAGATAATTTAGTCAAATATACATTCTAATAATCTTTTATTCCTTTAACCAAACACAATAATCTTACATTCCTATTAAACCAATCAAACACAAAATACAACATTCCCAGTAATCCTATTCCCTGGTAATCTTACATTCCCACTGATAATCTTACATTCCGTGAACCAAACACACCCTTAAAGCATTTGTCAATTTAGAAATTTTAAAATTTTATGAAAAGAATACTTTAATATATCATGTCATCTTTTTTAACGACAATGACCGTAATGAAAGTAAAACAAAAATTTAGTTATTGTAATATAAATTTTAAAAGTTTGTTGACCAAAATAAAAGCATCATAGAAGTTTAATGACATTGCAATTTATCCTAAAATTTATATACAATAATAATAACAATGCATTTTATAAATTAATATTAAATTCATAAAATATGTCAAAAATAAAAAATTAATTGTATAATTATATAAATTTTATTAAATATCGTGTCAAACTACTTCATCAAATATTAATGAAATATAATTCGATTAGTATCATTTAAATAATTAATTAGTCTAATTAATAAAATTAAAATATCAATAGTCAACTAAAAAACTCCATAACTAAGTGATTAGGGTGTAATATACCTTCAGGGCGAAGCTAATATTAGATATAGATAAGGGCTGAAATATTAAATTTTTTAAGAAAAATACAATGACTTATTAGGTATTTAAACTTATAATTTAGAAAACAATGTCTAATTTATCTAATAATTAAATTTATATGGCCTAAATTGTTATTATACCAAAAAATTGAGAACATTAGATTAACATTCATTTTTTTGTATAACTACTGATTTCCAATCTATTTATCAACAAATTCAGATCGAGTACTGCAGAGGCGATGACGACCCTCTCAACCCAGTTTGCTCCATTCGCAATCGCCAATATTCAAACCCCTAACCTTGTTTAAGGGACCTAGTGTCTCATCCCACTAAACCAACGGTTGTTGGTTTTGGATTATCATTCTTTAGTTCGCCCCCTACTTGATTAAAGAGAAAATAACTTCAGTGATCGAAAATGCCTTATAATATACGATTTTAACCAACTGTTTTTGGATTTGCAAAAATAACTAACAAATTCGCAACGCGAACTCCTATTTCGCAACACAGTTTCCAAATTCGCATCTAGAACATGGAATTTTTTGCAACGCTAATTATCGATATAGGTAAACACAACTATTCGCAACACGAATTTCGTAAATCGAATTCGTCAATTTCGTAACTTAATTACCGATATAGGTAAAAACGGTAGAACAAATTCGGTAAAAAATCCAAATTCGACAATTTGAAAACCGAGTTGCGAATTTGGCAAATTCGAGTTGCGAAATGTAAAATCTCGCATCTTAAAGAAAAAATTAAAGGACATAAAATGCACTTGAGTGGTTTTCAACCTGTGACATCTCAGTTGCTAAGTCCACGTATGAATCACTCAGCTAAACATACGCCTGTAAATGAATTGAACAAACACGAACGAGGGTATGTTCATGTTCGTTCGTTCGTTTAACTTTAACCAAACAAACGAACTGTCGAAATGATTTTTTCTTTAAGAGGTGAGATTTTACATTTCGCAACACGAATTTGTCAAATTCGCAACTCAGTTTTTAAATTGGCGAATTCGGATTTTTGACCGGATTTTTTCTACCGTGTTTACTTATATCAGTAATTGAGTTGCGAAATTCGCGTTGCGAATAGTTGTGTTTACCTACATCGGTAATTAGCATTGCAAAAACGAAATTGGCGTTGCGAAAATTTCCATGTTCGAGTTGCGAATTTGAAAACTGTGTTGCGAATTTGAAATCGCGTTGCGATTTTGTTGGTTATTTTTGCAAATCCAAAAAAAGTTAGTTAAAATCGTATATTATAAAGAATTTTCGGTCACTGAAGTTATTTTCTCCTTGATTAAATATATAATAAATTCTTATATTTCTTAATTTAAATACTTAATTTTACATTAACTAAAATATTATTAGATCAAAATCTATCAAACATAAAATAATTTTACAGGGCCGGAACCCTTTGGTTCCTAAGGGAGCTCCGCCCCTGTTTACCCTTGTGTTTTATTATTTGCGATATGAGGTGGATGGTTTGGCACTTGTGTTGGCACTTGTGTTGGCACGTGGTTTTATGATGGATTAACGGGCAATTACTTGCGGCCGGCGCTGCAACAAATCCAATAATTTTTGCTTCTTTTGTATGTAGAAGTGGCTAAAACCAATAAGGATAAGCAAAAGAGAACCGCAGTAAACGATAACCATAAGGTTAAGGACTATTGATTCGCATAAATGTAAGTTAATAGATTTAACATGGCCTATAAATTGTTACATTTATCAAATTAGTATAAATCCGAACTCAAAATATTTATAATATAATCTCCAAAATCATGCTACTATATTCATCAAAGTTCACATTTATAAGTAAATTAGCAAGCAAAATGTTCTAATAGGACGAGTGACAATTTTATGGGCAAACTTTGCATGCTATGAACATCAATTATAATTTATATTTTCCAAATTTTAAATAAATATGCTAATTTTTTTTCATTCGTATCATACAAATATGTTTTTAGTTTATTTTAAATAATAAAATGAAAATCATAATTTTGGGTTGGATTGTGTGTTGGATGATGAATGCTTGTCGCCTACTTCATTTAAATTCCCCATCTTTTCTTTTTATTGTTTGTTCATGCTTTTTGGTGAGGGGAAAAAAGTTGGGTACTTTGATCTTTGGTTTGCTTCAGTTCTGCGATAATGGAGAAGCACAAATGCAAGCTCTGTGCTCGAACATTCTCTAATGGCAGAGCTTTAGGAGGCCACATGAAAGGTCACTTAGCCACTCATCCACTGCCTCAGAAGACGGCTCACCAGCACCAACACGGTGATCGCACTGACTCGGCTTCTTCGTCATCGTCTTCATCAGATGAGGAGCAAGAACTTGGAGAAGAGAAAATCAGAGTTCTCGAAGAGAAATGTTTGGTTTACGGGTTAAGAGAGAATCCCAAGAAGAGTTTCAGGTACGCAGATCCTGAATTCTCGTTTGCAGCCAATTTTGGGTCCGTTGTTCAATATATAGAAAGCGAGACCGAGTCAGGGAACCCAACTCGGAGACGATCCAAGAGATGTCGAGAGCTGGGTACTAACAAGGAACCAGAGGTGTTGATGAAATCCAGTTTGGTCGAGTCACCGACAGAGCAAGAACCGGTGAGCTCAGTTTCCGATACTTCACCTGAAGAACATGTTGCTATGTGTCTTATGATGCTGTCGAGAGATGTCTGGAAAAGCAAAAACGTGGAACAAAAATCCGTTCAGGAGTTGAACAAGAAGAAGATTCGTGGGAAGCATCGATGTGAGAAATGTAAGAAAACGTTTCGATCTTATTACACATTGGATGAACACAAAAGGGTTTGCTCTGAAACTGAGAAAACAGGTAAAATCGCCGCTGTTGCTGCTTTTGTTGGCTCCAACGACAGCAGGACATTTGAGTGCCCATTGTGCTGTAGAGTGTTCGGTTCAGGACAAGCACTCGGCGGTCACAAAAGATCCCATTTTCTCGCCGCCGCCGCTGCAAATTCAGGCAAATTTGACAACAATTTGATAGATCTAAACTTGCCAGCTCCATTGGAAGATGATGAGTTCAGTGTGGTATCAGATGCGTAGCTGTTATGGGATCGAATTCACGTACGTGGATCTGATGCTCTATATTCAATTTTTTATGCAATTTTTTCACTGTAGTTTCTAATATTTCTTCATTCATAGATGAATCACGAATGTTTGGATTTCTTTCTATTCTTCATTGTCTCTGACCCACACTCCATTTCTTGAATTCTCCGCAACTTATTACAAAATTACTGCAAATTATTACAAGCATTACTCTCTGTTTTGTCCCTGGTAATTGCTATTAGCTGCCATTGTTGAGGAGGCAGATAGCAGACTTTGAACCAAGTTTCATTTCCAGTGAATCCCATTTAAGAACAAAAAGGAAACTACAACACTAAAGCATTTTTTCTGGGATTTGGTTGGGTTATCTTATGGACCAAACACCGGCCACTGAACTCTGCAAGTACCAAAGGTGTTCGGTTCTGATAACATGTCCTGTTTCTTATTTTTTTCCACCTTTTCTGCAAAACTATCTATTACTGTACACTTGGAAGAATATTTTATGGCTTTTACTCTGTTTCGGCTTGAAGAATGATGGGAACATAAACCAGAAATTTTAACATGGATTGACTCAAATAACCTCCCTAAAAATTGGGTTTTACATTTAACATCCACCGAATTTCTGCATGAAAAGATGATTGATTTAAAATGTTAATGTGCCTTGAGATGAAAGAAATGATCGGGCAAAACAAGCTGCCATCAGCCTTATCCTATTATTGCTGCCAACAGATCCCTACTTATTTTATGCTAAAAACTATTTTTGGGTTGTCTTAGTAAACAAACATGTAAATGTGCTGGTTTTCAATACTTTCTAGAACTGAAAATTTTATATTTTTAAACTTTACGATGTTTTCTAAAATAAATTGTAGACTGTGATTATAAATTTATGGGTAAAGTATATAAATGATCTCTTGACTATGAGATGTTGTTTTATTTAGTCATCCGATTATTAAAAGATATAAAATGATCACTCGATTATATTGAGTTGTTCTGTCGAGTCTCTTGACTATTAAAAGTAACAAAATGATAATCTGATTGCTCATATGTTTCAAACTCATCATTTTCTTATTTGAGCTATAGACGTTAACCTGCTGATTGAGATATGGTCAAATAGTTTTTTTAATGATGTCTATTGACATTACTGCTGCTTTCAAGCACTGGCTTGAAGGCCTAATGTTTAATGCGCTGGCTTAATGACACAATACAAACGGAGACTCGATCTACAAAATACATCTCAAATAATTCTAAGATTATATTTTTATCATATCTCAGTCAGCATGCTAACATCCAACTCAGAAGGTCGACAATATTTTAACGGAAAAATATGAGTTCGGAACATAGGAATAGCCGAGTGACCATTTTGTAACTTTTAATAGTAAGAGGACTCAACAAAGCAACACCCTATAGTGAAGAATCATTTTATAACTTTTAATAATCGGAGGATTCAATAAAATAGCACCCTATAACCGAGAGACCATTTGTGTAATTTACCCGAAATATATATGGGTAATAATGCAAGGAGCACTTTCGTATTCCGATTTGGAAATGGAAATCACAATCAGCATCACAAGATGTAAATGGTAGTTGATGTACAAAGTTACTAAATAGTTTGGTGAGTCCATCAAGCTCCAAATTATTAATGATTCGTGGTTCATCTACATTGCTTTTAGCTGCACGTATGATTGTACAACACATGACAAAAAACAAATGAAGCATGAAACTGTCCGTTGCCAACCAACTATTGATGTGGACTGCCTTTACATGTTTACTATGCTTTGGATTATCATTCATCGACATGGCCTTTTCGTTTTCAAATTATTTAATTTAATTGTTTTTTCTCATTATTCAAAGCATATACCACCAGTTATTTAAGAAATTATAGTGCTGTAACATGTCTATGCTAACTTTACGAGCATTCTTCAAGATATCCTTCCGGGCAGTACATTTTGTTTTCCCGGCCAAATTAAATAGCATTTTAAACCATGTTTTGAGGCCACAAATGCTATGGTATTGTACCCCTATTTTAGGTTACAAACAGAGATTTAGCTGATCTAAGGGTATCGAGTTGTGCTCCTAACATTAAACTATACATCCTATAATCATTTCTAACAACAGCATACCTAAGTGGAATACAACTATATAAGAGAGGTTCACGTCTCAGAATTTTTTAATTTAATTTAATTTTAGGTACTTAAATTTGTTTTTGATTAATTTAAGATGATTATAATGTAATATGTTTTAAAGATTCACAATCATTTGACAATAAAAACTCAAATATTTTAACAGTTTCTGGTGCACGAACTTGAAACCCTTTAACTACTAAGGTAACTGAGATAACAAACATCTCTTTAACTACTAAGACAGCAGATATAACAAGCATCCATTTAACTACTAAAGTAGCTTAGTTCGCATAAGTTGTTACAAATTTAAATACTAATAAAATTATTTTTTCATTTCTAAAATATTCCTTCGACTTTAATTCCATTACTCTGTTGATACGCTAGTGTTTCTCACATGTGATCGAATATATGAGGCTTTGAAGAAGTTGGTAAACCTAGCACCGATCGAGCCAAACAAATGAATAAAAAACAAAATACATAAATAATCATTAAATTATGTTAAAATATTTTGTTTCATCATTAAAGTTTCAAAAATTATAAAATGATTATTAAACTTCTCAAAAAGTTATAAAATGATCATTATAATTTATTAAACGGTTACAAAATAGTCACTAAATTTTATTGTTATAAAATGGTCTTTAAATTTATCAAAATCAATCAATTTTATTATCTGGATTGACCATTTTATTACAATTAAATAAATTTAATAATTTTTTTATAACTTTAAAGTTTTGATGATAGAAAAAAAACATTTCAACATGATTTAATAATGATTTTATGTAGTTTACGCATGAAAATCCTACAAGAAATCATTCAATGGGACGGGGGATTAAGAATTAAAAAGATAATCCAAGTAAGCAATAAACACCTATAATTCAATATTTTTCTAAATAAAATAAGCTGCAACGAAGATTAAAACAAGTTTTTCCGAACTTTAACACTGTCGACTTTGTAGGTTTTTTTTAACTGTATGGGATAATTATAAAATAATATATTTTTAATCATTAATAATATATTCTATGTGCGCAACTGTTCAATTTAGGATTTCAAAAGAGAACGGACTTTGCACGAATTATTGTCGTGTTTAATGCGGTGTGAGCACACCCTAAGTTAACGTAATAAATGGCGACCCAATTATTAAATTGTTATTTTAATCACCCATCTTAATAAGCTTTAGATTTAATCACTATCATTACAAACATTGATTATTTTAATCACTCTATGTTAAATCTAAGGTTGGAAAAATGTGAACCGATTGAATCGATTCATTTTAAATGAAGTTTTTCGTTTTTAAAAAAATGGATGTGGTATGGGGTGGGGTGAATCTTTTAAAAAACATTGTTTATCATTTGTTCATGTAACATTTTAACTCGATTTAGTCGAACATCGGAGGAAAATATCATCATATTGATTAATCAGAATTTAGATGGATCTGAATTGGAACTAAACCAGATTAACCAAGACAGTGTTGGATATTAACTCTGGCGATTTGCCTAGGTTAGGTTTTTGAACAATTTGTTCAAAATACTTGGCTTTATTATTTATTATTATTTTTTGTTAATATGAAAGGAGGAGATGGATATGGTGAAGAAAAGAAGCAAGAATCTGGTTCTTTAACGAGTGGGATTGTAGGATTAGGAATGGGATTACGTGACTTGAATAGCAAGAAAACACATGAGGAAGAATTTATAAGAAAATATGCAGTGTTACATCTTGAAGAAGCAATTGAATGAAATAACTTTTTTTCGTTACAGTATATATGCAAACAAAAATTGAATTGAATCGGTGAAATAATACGAAGGGAAATGGAACATAGAATATGGACTAGGTTGTATATTGTTTGTTTGTGTTTTGGACTAGGCTTCCCACGGTGCAATCCAGTGTCTGCCATTGACAAAACTTTTGGCTAGAAAAGGATGCGCCTCGTCGAACTCTAGTTCCTTTGCCCACGACACCCCACGCACCGCAGCAGCTCCGGGACCCCAGCACTTATAAACCCCAAAGAACGCCGTCCTGCAAAGGCAACTAAAAAGATTAACGTGTGGAAAAAAAGATTAGGGTAGAAGTAATCAAAAGGAAAATGAAGGGAACTTACTTATTTTTGTTGCTGGCATGGTCCCAGTCGTCCCACCCACCATGAGCAACCAGGTCATCAAAGTAAGTGTAAGCATATACAATTCTCGAGTATTGACCCATGGCTCGACCCACATAAAGTGGACCCGTTCCCGTCACCTTGCAACTCACAAATGCAAAGCCCGTCTTCTCGTCGGGTGAGTTTCGGCCGTGGGCTGCTATGGATCCGAATCTTGTGGCTATGGAGTGCAGCTCACAGTCCTGGCAAAGCAGCAAGCAACCAAACAATAAATCTACTGTAGAAACGGCTCTTCTTGCCCTTTTATTCGAAGAAGATGGCTGAAGCAAGTAGAAATGTATGCTCATGCAAGAGAGAGAAAGGTTAAGTAATAGCTGCGATGGTGCCATGAAAAATACTGCATCTTTTATGATTGTTTACTTAAGTATCTGTCATTTATCTTTTCGACGAGTTGGGTACCACTAGTTTCTGATAGACAAAAGGCTCTGAGACTCTGATTGATAAGAGAAAAAAGCTCTCTTCATTTTCTTTAAACTTTATGGAGACAAGACTCAAGAGAGTCAGACTTGCTATAGAACAATGCGACGTCTTTTTCATTTTTCTTTATCAAATTGCATTATATTATAGTTCTTACTTTGTACATGGAGCGGCCGTTTCCAAAGATGAAGTCGATTGATCCCTCAATGTAACACTCCTTGAAGTAATGGCGACCAGCATCATCACAAAGAGTGTCTTGTGCACCGTAGAATCCACAGCCTGAGAAATAAGCCTTGTCGCCCGATATCCGAAACGCCACCGCTTGCCATCCTTGCATCCCCGGCATGGGTGCCGGTGCTGTATTCTACACAATGTACACTCATTAACATTATTATTTTCATGAGTTCAAAATGATTTCACTGTTTCAGTTAAAAAAACTACCGCCAAAATAAAGTCACATGCAGCACAGCGTTATAATAAATATATGTATCTACATTTATATCTATGGCGAATTATCTGCTGCTTCTACTTTCTCCATTCAGTCTGAAGAATTAATGGCGTAGAATGTCATTAGTTAGCTGTTCGGTGGTTTCTTATTATTCTTTACCTTGAAGCTGATGTTTCTAGCAGAGAAATAATTTGCATACACAGTGACAGAAGCAGTTTGATAAGTACGCAACTGTTGGCCGTTGGATCCAAGATCACTCGCTCGATCATGCCACTCGATGAAAGTCACCTCTCTCCCTGCTCCCTGCAACGTAATGTATGGCTTTGTCACCGGCACCACCACTTTCTGTCTGTAACGCCACCGTCATTAAAAAAAAAAACGCTTAGACAACCATTTTTTAAAGTGAAGTAGGTTTAGCATTTTTGAAGATTCTTTTTTTCTTCTTATAATGGCTTCCAGGGAAATAAAATTGAAGTATATTACATGTAATATCCAGCGCTGATACGAATTAGAACATTCTTTCTATTGTTCTCCGGGACAGCATCAACGGCAGCTTGAACTGACCGGAAATGACCCAACCCATTAATGTCGACGGTAATCAGCCGGTGACCGATGGGTCCGATCCACTTATGGAGGTGTCTTGTAGCTGCAACCGAGCTTGTAGCTACTGATAATGGCGGCGCAGGACAAAAGAAAGAAGCAAAACCGAAGACAAAACAGATGTAGAAGAACAAGAAGCAACTAAAAGACTCCATTAAAATAAAACAGAATCAACTGATCAGAGAATGGAAATGATGAAGTAGAAGAATGTTTCGATGTGAGATTCTTCTGAGGTTCGTAATTAGAGCTCGGGATCTTATAAAGAGACACATATTTATAAATTAATTGCGTTGGAATAATTTTTTGGGGGGTGTTTGCAACGGTCATTTCTTTTTGTATAAAGGCTTGTAGGGTTGCTTTTATGGAACCTGTTGGCTGTATTTTGCGCAAGTCTCGATGTCGGATTCTTTGTAATTTAGCAGAAACCGGTCGTTAGTAAAAACAAAATGAATCCCCATTTTAATTAATTAACCGGTCCATCCAAAATAAATCATGCATCGATGGAGAATTAGGGTTAATCTTTCCCCTTAATCCGAAAACGAAACGAATTAAAAAGAAACGGCCACGTTTTGTGAAGCATCAGGTGGTGTTGGCGTGCATGAAGGATTATGGTACAGGCATGGCTCAAATACTAAAAATTTTCAATGAACTTAAAAAGATACTCCTTTTTTTTCTAAAAATGACCCTAAATGGGGTCCACTTATGTTTTTTGAACGTTGGAGTACAAAAATCTTTGGTCTATTAGGGCTAGGGACAAAAAAGCCTAGACTCGTGGACATATATGCTTTTATATTCTTCATCCTATTATTTTAAACATGACGGTTTTTTTCAAATCGTAATTATTAGGGACCATTTTAACAAAGGCTTTAAATTTTAGTTTTTTCTTAACAATTCTCGAGATAGCTTAAAATACAATTTTCCCCACAATACTTCACTAGAAAACCAACACCAAAAGTCGTTGAATATATGGGAAAAGAAAGTCGTTGCTGATGATTGGCTTGATTATAGCTAGGGTTGGACCCACTTAAACATATGCTAGTAAAGTTTATTGTGATTGATGAAAACAGCCCAAAGAGAATTTTCTTAAATAGTATGAATGGATTAGAATTTAGGGTAGAGTATATAAATAGTCTCTAACTTTTAAAACGTGTAATACATAAATTTTAATTCGTTTTCAGTGAGACTTCTGATGTTACTCGTCGTTAGTTTTATCTAACGTGGCACGTTAACTCTATTAAATCAACCCCAATCTTCTTCTTCTTTCTTTCTTCTTCTTTCCATGTGTGGTGGCAAAATGAATTCTCATGAGAAAAAAAACAATGAATGTGAAAAAGTAGAACGATGACAATACCTAGGGTATGAGTGGAGAGTAAATGTAATCTTATTGCACTCACAACTCGAGTTCTTCTTCTCCGTTAATATAACATGAAAGGAACATGTACATACATAGCTTTTCCTCTTCTTTCTATAGACAACTCTATCACCATCCATATAGAAAGAAACAAGAAAAATGAAGTTAATCTTGAGACATACACCAATATCCTGCTTCCTTGAAACAAAATTTCATTTTTCAGAATCTCGTTATACCAGTCAAAGAAGATACTATAACCACAAGGGAAAAAGAAAGGCCAGGTCTTTATTTCTTCCAAAGGTTAGTGAAGCAAAGAGAAGAAGAAAATAATTTTTTTTAGAAAAAAACAATGATCTGAATGAGAAATAAAAAAAATTCCAGATTAGATAACATGGTCCAAGTTAAAAGAAAACCATTTTAATAGAGTTTGAAGCCATGGAGCAGAGAAGACAAGTTTGAGAAAGAAAGGTGTGTTAAAAAGATTGGTTTTTCCCCTCTCTTTGGTGTGTCTTGGAAGGGTTGTTCTAGTTCTAGAATTAGAGTTAGAAAAAAGTATTTTGTAGGGTAAAAACTGAAGTAGAAAAAGGTTAACTAACAGACATTGCTTCAGTCCTCACTGTCAACAACAATTTGTCTACTCTTTCATATCATCATCATCTATCTACTTTGATTGTGGTAATGTTTGACTCCCAACACTTAAAGGATAAGAAGGAAGAAGAAAGAAGAAGAAGAACAGGGGTGTTTAATGGAGTTAACGTGCCACATCAGATAAAACTAATGACGGGCAATGTCAGGGACCTTACTGAAAACGAACTAAAAGTTCAGTGACTATATTGCAAGTTTTAAAAGTTGGGTGACCAAAATATAAGTGCCCCAAAAGTTTGGAGACTATTTATATACTTTACCCTAGAATTTAATATTTATTCATACTTTTTAGTATCTAATCTATTGATTAATTAATTCATATCAGATTTTATTGAGGTTCAATATAAGTGCGACTCTCCTAACTAAATTTTCTTCACTCATAATATCATGATTCGAACCTATGATATTGTTTAAGCAATCTAATACCTCATCTTACTAGATAATCAATTATTAATTATTCATAATTTTTTTAATCATTGATAATGTATATATACTATATAGATTTAAATGTTCTAATCAATAATCTTTAGAAGAAACATGAGTCTATTATATGAGACTTTGTCCGTCAATTAGTTTTTTTTTTACAATATTAGATTTGGTTCGACTCTCGTATCTTTACAACATAATATTTATAATAATGATAAATTACATCATTAGTGATCAATATATTATTGTTTTCTTATTTTAATTATTGAACTGATAGAAAATAAATCAAATGAGCAAAATTTAAATACATGGAAAAAATCCCAAATTGAGAAAAGTATAGGGATGGAAATCACAATTTGACCTATAAATTATATAGAGAATAATAAAAATAGTGAAACCTATGGAGGTTTAAAAATCTCAATACATAGGATTATACTATGACAAGGAAATGAAATAAATGACAACATTATATTAACAAAAACAACCTAGTTAAATTCCCCTGTTTCATTGCACTATATATCAAGTCTCAGCACAACTTGTTGAAGCCCAGAGGTGGTGAAGATTCAGCCATTTTTGGGAAAAACTGTTCCCTTTCAAGAGAGACATAAAGACGAGCCAAGACCTTAACCGCCGAACCCCAAGCAATAGGAGCATAACAAAACGCATAGCCGAAAACAGCTAGAGCTCTTATAACTCCAGAAGAGAACCAAAAATCCCAATCAATGGAACGAAAACTTGAATGGCAGGCAGCAAGAACGAGTTGATCGTTATCGATGACAGAGCAACGGAGCCGAGGAAATACAGTGTCCAGCCTACTAAAGGGTGAATTGTGCGAGGAATAATGGCGAAGGGAACAAAATAGGCCGCGAGAATTGACCAGATTGCTACGAGCTTTAGTGCAGTTTGGATCAAGGACGTGGTTTTGTCTGAGTGCCGGTAGCATAGTTTGGAGATGCTGGGGCGTGCTAGTCGAGTCATTGCTATTATTCCAAGGAAGATAATGGTTTGGATTATAACAATCGGCATCTCAGCCGCGTAGCCTAGATTTTGACGACGATTTTCATGCCACTGAATGCCCAAAAGCAAGACAGGCCAAGACCACCAATACCATGGCTTCAACCATAGTGCACCAGGGAAAGTGATCACACTGTTCGGTCCACAAGGTTAGATTTGCAGCTCGGAATCATTATAAGATTTTTAATGGCATAATGTCAAAATTAGCCCCCAACATTTATCAAGATAATCACTTCAACTCTTCTTCTTCTTCTTTTTAGCACTTTAACCCTCAATGTTTCAAATTTTAGTTAAAATGGTCTTTATTTGATGAAAATAGTTAGTTAACTAATGGTCTACGTATGTTATTATGTAGAATGTGACACATCAGCAATTAAACTCATGTAAAAATATCACATCAACTGTTAATTAACGTTTCCATCTAACATGAGTCATTTTGACCAAAAATTGAAATATTGGATTAAAATACTCAAAAAAATAAGAACTAAAATGACTATTTTGATAAACGTTGGGATTTAATTTTGATATTATACCATTTTTAATATCATCACCAATCAGTAATAAGAAGCATCCATTTGATAGCCCAGTGGGAGCCTGTATTGTCCATCAAGGTTGGAGCCATTTAAAGGTGGGTGGAACATTGGCTGGTCGAGCAAGTCAGGGAAATAGGCACAAATAAATCCCTGGTCTGCACCATCAGGGTTTTCTTTACCGGATTCCAGTGAATGAATCATGTCTTTAAATACATCCAACGATGGCTGCAGATGACTTTCTTTTAGGAACCCAAAATTTGTTCACAAAACACAGTTGAAAACCTGGAACGAATCATTTACATAAGGAGCTCGAATTTTTTACCTGCAACACAAAGAGACCAGTATGGAAGATGCAGGGGTTGATAAAGACGGCACAATTTTTTAACTGCCCACATTGGAACAATTCATCGGTTTTCTGTAGGAAAAGATTGTCTGCGTCTAGCATGACAACTCTCTCATAGTCCACCAAACTCCAAGCATATAGTTTATTCAGTGTCAACTTGAATCTCTTGTCAAAATTTTTTTGACCATTGTAAGGGTTATTAATGTTCTCCACCCTCACCACCTTTGCTCCATCTTCCTCTTCCCTATACCACCAAAAAAGAAAAAAAACCACAGCCGGTCAAACTCATGTCCGTTTCATCACAATTTTCATTCTAATAAGGAACATTATAGCCTTTAACGATCATGTTTTTGAAAGAACCAAAGCAAAAGAAACCCCAAAATATTACAATAACGAGGGTATATTTTGAAGGGATCTTGCATCAGTCATGTATTAAACGAGTGAAAGATATTAATCTCACATTAAAAAGAAAAAGAGAGAGGTTTTAAAGTTTATAAACAATGATATTTTACATCTTATCACATATATGATTTTTAGAAGAGAATAATGATTTCGTGATAAGTGATATCATAGTAATATTTTGGTTTTTTGATTTCATGTTGGGCATCCTAGTGGATGGAGTAGATCGAATAGACAATCATAATGACGACTTATGACGAGAACGTCACGAGATTGAATAAAAAATAATATCACACCTTAAAGAGATATAAAACATTAGTTTCATAAAAAAAATTAAAATTTATAAATGATGATATTATACATTTTAATATTTAGTTTGTTATTTAAATAAATAAAATAAAATGATAACGTGCATGGCCCCAAGTCCTCCGTCTCTTACCGGTAGTTGACTTTCTCCAACCGACCCTAACTAT